TTTTTTTTTTTTTTTTTTTTAACTACACAATCTTATATTCAATTACCTTAGTTGTATGTAGTAAGAAAATTATACATAGTTATTATATATTCAATTTGGTTTGGCTCAATTTACCATTTTTGTATAAAATTTGCTATCTATTCAGTTATTCAAAATAGAAATGATCTTTAAAAATCTAATCTTGCATTGCTTATGCTTTTATCACCTTCCCATTCAGAGCAGTGAAATTAATGGTCTTCGTTACTTTTGCTCAGTTTCATTTATCCAGGTATAAAATGCTGTCCTCTTTCAGTGTCTAGAACTGCAGAACAGATCTGTCAATAATCATCCTGTTTTCACTGCAGTTAACTTAAATTCTTCTCTTTCTAGTAGGTTTTGTAACTTTTTGTGTTTTTGTTATATGAAACCAAAGTTGGGGCCTAAGCTATGCAACACATCCTTTTAAAAAGGTCTTTAAACATCTAGCTCCCAAAGAAAGAAGTTGGAGTCTTAATTCCTATTGCAAATATTTCTTTTAAATTCCATGTTGCTATAGATTTTAATCTTACTTCTGCATATAACATTGTACTAAGGTAATTCAGCTTCTTTATTTGCCACATTTTTCCTCCAGAACAAGAATATGTTAAATCAATTTATGTGATTTAAGATTTTTCAAATCTTAGAGTGTCTTAAACTGTTCTTAGAAATATCCTAATATCATTTGGTCCTTAGGTAATAAGGCGAGACTGTGTTTTTAAAACTGGAGTTACTTGGTTATAAGTAAGTTACTCAATAAGTGCTAAGCTAACCTACTCAATATACAGTATAATATAGCCTATAACTCATAATTAGGATGGGGGATTTTTTCATTGCCTTTTAGGACTTATATCCCTTAAGTTCAAGGACTGAGGGAAAAACTTTGAAGCATCTGTATTTGAAGACATTTTCTGCTATCAGTTTCAAGAATGTTTCATAGAAAGGGGGGAAAAGTCATATCATTAATACACAGTTAGCAATAAAAAAATAAAGGGCATAATGATTAATGACTTAAGGCACTGTTAACAGAATATAAAACTTTTTACCAATGTGCTGCTTGTTCTAGTTCAGGTCAAATCAGAACTGTTATAAAAAGTAAGAGTTACTGTGTTATATACCCTTTGATAAGAGTTTATTCCCATCCGATTTCTGGACAGGTGACTGTCACACACACACACAGTTACCAAGAGCCTCAGCAGTATGCCATAGACCAAATGGGCATAAAAATGAACTGTACTCATTTCTACAGGTGGTTGAGACATAATGGCAAGACAATATATGTACATTAACTGCTGCTTCCTGTGTTGTATTTGTTCTATGGATGAGCAGAACAATACCACCTCAGAGGCATTAATATTGCACCACAGCAAGCACAACCCCACCTCCAGCTGAACTTTTAAAGGGTCTTAACCAGGTTATCAGGTACTCACTGATTCAACATATACATACAGCAGTTTGAGCAGATTATGAAAAAGATCCCAAGGAAAGATTGTGCAGTTAAGTACTTTGTGCAAGATGTAGTGACCCTGCCTTTTTAATGTGTAACTTGCACAGCTCTAGTAGAGGCATGTAAACTGGTCACAGTCAACTTTGACACCAAGTGTTTTTTCCTCGCCTTAGCAAACATTGCCATACTCTAAAGTCCCTTTTCATTTTAAAGTAAAGTTTTTCAAGGTCTCTTTCTTAATGAATCCAGATAATTTTGTGGAAGTGTTAACATGTCTAGCATACACTTTAAAAACATCCATTCTAAAGAGCAGCACTGGAGGTCTAATACAGAATGGGAAAGTATTTCCCCTTCTTATAGTGGAGTTCTACATTCAAACATGTAGAACAAGAGTGTTTAAACTATTCTGGTCCCAGTTTGCAAACTAGGTGGGTGACGTGGGGCTAGTCTGTGGGCCAAGCCTGGAACATGGAGACATGCCATCTCTTCTGCAGAGCCGCCTACAGGGCCAGAAATTTGGTGGCAGTGCCATCAATTGCTTTGGCTCCTAGAGCTGCAACTGCCATTGTTCCTCCCACCAAATTTCAAGCCCTATGGGATGCCCTGTAAGCCAGAGGACAAGGCTCCCTGGACCAGATCTGGTCTTTGGGCCATATCTTTGACACCTCTGGTGTAGGCAATGCTCAGCTCCTAAACATATGTATTTTGTAAAAGGAAACATCAGCATTGCAATATATGGCAACCAGCTATCCACACATGAAAAGTTTAACCTATTTCAATCACATAGATCATTGAAGGATGTAGCCTTTAATAGCCGGATGGAACTGCAAATAAGTTTTAATAAGAATTAATATAATAGCTTTCTTGTACTGTAGTAACCAAATGATTAAATGTTGTTACAACCCCAAGATCAGGATCTGCCATAATTCGTCTCGGCAGAGGCCCAAAATAATAAATAACCAGAATTGTTTATGCTAATCTAATACTTTGCATTAGGAAGATTAAATATTTGAAGGACCCTAATGTGTTTGAATGTTTGCAAGAAGTTGAAAAATAAATCAAAATGAAAAATGGTCTTCAGAGAAACAAAGTGGTGTAGGGTCTAAAACCCTTTGCAACATGAATAGTGGTAAATATGGAGTAATTATGGTATACTAATACAACATTTTGCTTTTTAACCATTACAAAAGGGTCATAATAAAAAGGCTAATCACTTTAGACACTTGCAATCAATTAAAGGCATCCACTATAATTATACTATGTATTATAATATTTTCCATTCTTCTAGCTGTATTTATTTTTGTCTTCACAAGAAAATCTAGGTAAGAATAATATGTGTTAATGTTCTGATTACTAGAAGGAGCTATATAGAAGTGCAAAGTGCCTTTACAAACAAATGAATTCACTAAGATAAGCAATATTTACATCTTCAGTTTATGAACAAGGTTTGTCTTAGATTAAAGACTAACTGTATGTCTATACTGAAGGCACATAAATGGCTGGAAAGTATTATACAGGTACCTGAACACACTTTAAAGTAGCTATTTCAGTTGACCTAACCACATCAACAAGAAGTTCAATACAGACTCATTTACTCTGCTCCTTGGCAGAGAAAGCCCAAGGTAAACTTGCTGTTTAAAGCTAGCTCATGTATCTCTGCACTATGCTACTTTATATGAGTGCACTCTAGAATAAATGGAGTCAGTGGCAGAGCTGGAAATAGAAGCCCATCTCCTGACTTCTAGTGTGGTGTTTGAATGATTGGGTGTTGTACTGCTCTCCTTATCTTCCTCTTCCAAGCAAAGAAGGGCTTTAAAAATTATATTATTATTTACAATCCATAAGGAGTGTTTAGCTCCTCTGATGAAGGAAGGGTAGAATTAGATTACCTGATATATCATTTCTATAATCCTATGCAGTGAAAAAAAAGGCATATACATAACCTTCACAACAAATCCAGTCTTACCCTGGATATCTACTTGTAATTGCCCTAGTCTTCAGTAAGAAGCAGGTATATTTAAGGATAGATAGACACTGTTCCTAACTTTTTGGTCAACAGTTTAAATGTTGATGAATAGCCTAAATTAGGGGTCAGTAACATTCAGCCCACAGACTCAACCCAGCCCAGGGAACTGGAGGGTTAGCTTGTACCCAACCTGTGCCTGCCCAGGGCCTGGGTAGCAAGGAGCTGTGCCAGGCTGGGTAGCTTCCACCTGTGCCTGTGATGCTGATGCTTTTCCCTGTCTTCCTGGCTTTGGTCCAGTATTGGTCGGGTGGTTTTGGTGTACATCAGCCATGGGAGATTTTGCCTGCTCCTGGGGCCAGGTAGTGGGCAGCTGCGTCCTTCCTCTTGCTTCCTGACTGTAGCACAGGTGCAGCTTCTAGCTGACAGGGAGCTGCATGGAGACTGGGCACTTGCCAACTATACCCAATCCTGATGCTGCCATTTCTCCTCCAGACCCAGCTACAGCTTGGGCAGTTTCCAGCCAGTGGGGGGCTACTCTGGGGCTGGGCGGCTTCCAGTTGTGCTGGTGCTGTAGCCAGGGTAGGAACAGGAGGAGGAGAAGCAGCAGCAGCACAGACATATTTTGCAGATGCCTGTTCTTGACACAGCTTCTCACTGCCCATGTTGCAGCCAGGAAGTGGGGGGCTAGGAGAAGCAGTGGCGGCATGGGCACAGTTCCCATCTGTCTGTCCCTGGCATGGGTACAGGGAAACCCCTCTGTCACTGATGAGGACCAGAGCCAGATTGTTCTGGCCTGCAGTTTACAAAAGTTTGCCTGCCCCTGATCTAAATGGAAAGCTGATCTAAAGCAAGCTAGTTTCATAAATCCGGAAGTAAAATATCTGCTTAACTTATTTTATCTAAATTCATTCTTTTGGGGCAGAAGTTTTTATAGTGTAATTCTGCAAAGTGCTCAGTGACCCGTACTCCCGTGGATTTCAGAGCTAATCAAGGGTACTCCATCATCAGGCCCTTAAAACAGGTGAAACACTATCTTTATAGTCATTACATGCTAACAGCCAAATTCTGTCTTTTGAAATGCAGGTGCAACTCTTATTCTTCACCATTCAGAGTACAGGTCAGCACAGAACTTGGGCTCAATCATATCAAATTTTCTAAGAAACTAACGAACTCTATGTTCATTAAGTAAATTAAGATTTGGGATAAAAGTGATTATTTTTCCTTCATATCCTTTTTTTAAAAACTCAGTCCCTATTCCAAACACTCTAAATCTTTTCAAAGCACAGAACTCAACATTTTTTTAAAATTCCTGTCCTCATTTTTGTAACAAAGTTATATAATAAGGAACAGCCTAACAAACACAAGTCTTACTGGAATTTGAAGACCTTTTCATCTCATATAAGTGTTCAGAAAAGCTGAACAACACTAAGATTTTTTTTAAAATAATTTTATATCCTTATGTAATTAAAAGCTAGATAAGATCAGCTTTTTAAATCAATGTAAGATTACAGTTGTTCTATATACTTTCTTTACATGGTTGACCGCTGCCCTGCCTCATCAAGTTTGAGGTTGCGCTTTCTTGCTGCTGCTTCACTGTTGAACTCCACATCTGCTTTCTCTGCCTTACTGCAGTCTGTCATAGCTGATTCTTCTGTGCCTCCATTGGGCTGCTGAAGTTTAGAATTCTGTTCTGGTGGGCGCTTCCACTGGGGTCTGGTTGCCATCCACAAAACAAGAGCACCAAAGATTAGAATCAAAAGACCAAGAGTGTTGACAAAAATTCCCTCTGGTGGAGATGCTTTGTAATTTTTCCTTTGTGAGGAGAAAAGAAAGAAAAGAAGTGTTTCAGGTACAATACTGACCAAAAAATTGTCCCAAAAGAGATTATTATACATGTTATTAAAATAAAACCAATGAGTTAATTCCAAATTGCATTGTTCTATATGATGTTAGGATATTTTTTCAGTGAATGAATTAATGAACAAGTAGAAAAATGAAATGAGGATACTTACAGAGCAAATAAAAGCTTCTCAGTAAATCCCATGAAGGCAGTTGCAATCACTGTTACAAAGATGAGGAGACCAGAATAAATATGTATTGGCATGAGAGATGCTCGAAGAGAAACTGGAGCAAAGGGCAGCAGAAAGACAGCAAAACCTAAAACAAGCTAGATAAAGAAAACAAAGTCACTCCTAAAGTTATGAAAGAAAATGATACTTTTCAATGAGAAAGCCATATACAAGATTCATTTTTTAAGTTTCTTAGGCCCAAACATACTAGGACTAGAAATATATTTACCTTTGAAGCCCAAATATATTACTTTTTGCCAATTCTTGGGAAAAAGACCATGAAATGGATGAATAATATACCAGTCTAGCATTATTGCCCAAATTGAGTAAAATGGTGAAAAGTAACCCAACCACACAGTACAACAGCACATTCTGAATATTCTGTAGCACGGTTAACACAATCAAGGAGTAAAATAATGATTATTAATTTAACAGCAGCCCCTTTAATTTTGGTTTTCCTCTCTTCCAGTCATAAATTTGTAATTTAATTATAGATCAAAAGGGACTATTAGATCAACTAGTTTAGCCTCCTGTATAAAACAGCCCCTAGAACTCTACCCAGCTAATCTATAGTGAGCCCAATACCTTGTATTCTATTAAATCATACCTTCCAAGGATGCTAGTTTTGATTGAATGCATTAATAGAGAATCCACTTTGCTGGGTGGTTTATTCCAGTGATTAATCATTCCTACTGTTAAATTAGAAATAAGGCAGATATTTTTAAGTTTCTCCCACTTTAACTTCCAGCAGTTGGATCTTGTCATGCCTTTCCTTGCTAGATTAAAGAGCCTGGTATTTTCTCCCTATGAAGGCACTTACATACCATAATCAAGTCACCTCTCCATCCCCTTTTTAATCAACTCAACAGATAGACCTCTTAAGTTTCTCACTGCAAGGTATTTTTCCAGCTCCGAAACAATTTATCTGGCCCTTCTCTACACCCTCTCCAATTATTTAACATTCTTTTAAAAAAGTAGACAAACTGGCTGCAATATTCCTGTATCAGTCTCACCAAAGCTGCACAGAGGCAAACTTGTCTCCTTTCTCTCACTCTCCCGTGTATACGTTCACGGATTACATTAGCCTATAGTATCACATGGGGGAGGCCCTATTAAACTACTTGTTCGCTATGGCCCCTGAGTCCTTTTGAAAGTTTTCTAAGATAATATTCCCCTATTTTACAGGTATGGCATGTACTCCTTGTTCCTATGTGCACAACTCTGCAGCTTCCTCTTAATACACATTTTGTTTGAATGGGCCCAACTTACAGTACCGAAACTGTAAGAACAAGAGCATCTCATAGGTACATTATTGTATCAGCATTCCTTAAGAATTTTGTTAAAAAATACAAGCTTTTCAGACATTCTTTTGAAGATTAATATTAGCAAACAACGTTATGATAAAGTAAACTTTCTTCTTTAGAATTAATGCTTAAAGAAATGCCAAACTGCTGGCAGTGGCTGAATGTCTTGCCTATTAAGAACAATAATACTTTATAATTTGAAAGCCTTTTCCATTTGAGGGTTTCAAATTGCTTTACAAACATTAGGTGACTTAAGGCTTACAATAACCCTTTTAGGAAAGTAATATTATCCCAGTTTTATAGAGGGAAGCAAGTCACTGAGACGTTAAGTACTTACTTAGGTTCACATTGGCAAAACCTGACTCCCAATTCTGTGCTTTAATTAAACAACTATACTCCCCATCCAGTGCCTGCTCTGAAGTTTCAAAAGGAGAAAGTCACATCTCCTGCCTTGTTCTAATGATTCTCTGTGTGACTTTGGGCAGTGGAAGACAATCACATGGTAAAGGGTATGAACTGAAACTCAGAAGATATGGGTTCAGTGTTTGATTGTGTGTGTGACCTCAGGCATGTTATTTAGGGTAACATTTTTAAAAGTACCTATTTTGGATTTTTTAAAAAAGTTACCCTTCTCTTTCTGTCTGCATTCCATCTTTTAAATAATATTTATAATATTATTTGTGGTCATAGAACATGGTAAGAATAAATCTGTATCTTTTTCCTAAATACATAATCAAATATTCTGGCACTGGGGATCAGAAGCATCTTGTGAGAAAGACAAAATCTGAGAATTCTTTGTGTCAATTTTTACATAGATAGGCCTGTGAGATGTGGATATTTTTAACATACTATAGGCTTTCCTAAAAAACCTCAAGATACTTCATATTAATATTAGACTTCAGATAACTCAGAACTAGCAGTTAAGATTCCAACGCAAGGAATGATGTCCCTTAATAAAGTGTCAGCACAGGACCTCTAAAATAACTAGGGTCAAAGGATTAATGCAATTTATTTGAAGAAAAACTCTCAAAAGTGTCTTTCGTGAAGGAACAAGTTAGATTTTTCAAAGGCATAATAATAATCCTAGACCAAAGAGGACTAGTATGAGGTGCCGCTACTTTTAACGTCTTAGTCTGTGGTGTGCTTCTGAATGAACTCTGTATATTTAAAATTAAGATAAGGGATTTTTTTTTCTGTTGTTCTGTTAACTGATGTGCTTTATTTTTCACCAGCGCTTCTATAGCCTTTAGTTATTACAAGAGGCACAATTTTTTTTTGGTGATATCTTTATAGGACTAACTATATAGTTGGGAGGCATGTTAGACAAGCTTTTAGGCACAAAATGTCCTTCTTCAGGACCTGTCTCTCATATTTCCTAGACCATCAGGGTTACAACATCACCCTTTAGTTTCTATGGTTTCTATTTCAGTATGTGTTGCAATTAGGAACACTGATTATTTTCTTTTCTGTTTGCATGAACCAGAGTACTTTGTAAACAAAGACATCATTAGCGTTCTAAAACTAAAGGTGTCTCCTTTCAGGGCTCCAGTGTGAATGTATGTATTTGAAGACCAAAAGGATAATTAGGGGAGGGAATGCAACATTTTCATAGATTTCATAGATATTAGGGCTGGAAGGGACCTCAGAAGATCATCGAGTCCAGCCCCCTGCCCAAAGGGCAGGAAGTCAGCTGGGGTCATAGGATCCCAGCAAGATAAGCATCCAATTTACTCTTGAAGGTGTTTAATGTAGGTGCTTGAACCACTTTCGATGGCAGGCTATTCCAAAACCTTGGGGGCTTGGACAGTAAAGAAATTCTTCCTTACGTCCAGCCTGAAATGGTCTTGCAGCAATTTATAACCGTTCAACCTCAACATCCCTTGGGGTGCTCTGATGAACAAATGTTCCCCCAGGTACTGGTGGTCACCCCAGTTAAACTTATAGGTGGCCATCAGATCACCCCTGAGCTTGCGCTTTTCCAAGCCAAAGAGCCTCATAGATCTCAGCCTGTCATCGTAAGGTCTGTTTTCTTGATCTCTGATCATGAGCGTGGCTCTTGTCTGGACTCTCTCAAGCTTCTCCACATCCTTTTTGAATTGTGGGGCCAAAACTGGACGCAGTACTGCAGCTGCAACCTCACCAAGGCCAAGTACAAGGGAAGAATGATGTCCTGGGATTTGCTTGAGATTCAGAGACCCAGATAAACTGGAGAACTGGACTATCAACAACAAAATGAAATTCAACATAGATAAACAAAGTGCTGCACAGAGGGAAGGAAAAAAAACCAACAAATGTACAAATGCAGAATAGGTTTGTCAGTAACACAGACAAAAAAGGAACTGGGTTTAATGACAGGCCATAAACTCAACATGAGCCAGCAATGTAATGTTAATAAATAATATGTGCTATTTTGAGTTGCATTAATAGATGCATTCTATGCAAGACACATGAAGTGACAGTAACATTCCAGCCAGTGTGGATGGCACAAGCCACACACATTTTAAATCTGGTCTTGATAAGGTATAGAACTACTTTTGATTTAGTTTATAGCTGGGCCTTGTTTCTGTATTTTGATCAAATTTAATGCAACTCCCTAAACCTGTGCAGAGCCCCACTAAAGTAAGTAGGAGTTAACAGAAGTGCAAGCATTCATTTAAATAAAAAAACATGGCTTTGGACCAAGGGTGATTAAAAGAGTGGGGATAAGTTTAACTAATTTTTACATTGTGCAATTTCTAGTTCTGTCTCAATTTCTAAACTGACTCTAAGTCCCTGCAGTTCTAACTTCCTTTTTTAATATCTGGGAATTATGCCATCTTCCTCACGTCCCATTTTTGTGTTTCTCATCTCCTTCTGTTGTTCTTTCCTCCTTGACTTTTTTATTTGGTTTCTCTAGAACAGCAGGGATATAAAGCAGAAATTCTTAAAGATACGGATAGTGTCAGGAGATAAATGGGCTGCCATTTTGCCATTTTAACAGAGTTGTCTTAAATAAGAAAATGGCTAGATCTTTAAAAATGATAAGCTGTAAAATCTAGATAAAGGCAGATGAAGATTGAGATGTTTATTAGACATAAAGGATAATGCTTAAAAAAATTACTGAAAAAGAATATTTCTGCAGATAATTATAGTAATTAAGTGATGGATAGAATGAAAAAGTACTGCCAGAAATATTTACCAAGATTAAAGCAGTTTTTAAAAGAGCTAAAAGGACTGATGAAACAAGTCTTCAGTTATACAAAATTCAGTCAGAAAGGATGAACAACAACAACAAAAATAATCAAGGGGAAAATTAGACCATTTCCTTATATCATTTATTTGATAACTGCCAGTTTGGCTGGAGTAATTCCTAATTAAGTGGCACAAATAACTGTTAAAGAGTACAAGACAGGGAAATTCTATGTTAAAAGCTGCAATAACATATTAAGTAATTTACTTTTGATCCAAAATATTTTATGTCAAAGTTTCAATCAATATCAAATACTGTTCAGCTATTAAAACTAACCATTTAGTTGAAAACAATAAATTAGGAGTTAACGGAGTCATCCTAGTGTTATCTTTCAATGCAGAGGATAAAAGCAAAAGCATAAAAAAGCAGATCACAATCTATAAGAAATCATAATCTATAAATAAGAAACATGATTCTGCTGTAATAAGGGCTACTGATGTGCTTCTTGAATAATATAGGTTAAGTATAGACATTCAAAAAGCCCCTGGCAGAAGTGCTAACTGTCACACTTTACTAGCTAGATGGTGTTGCTCATTTGTTTGTGGTCATACTGACTGCCAAGTCTGGGGTCAGGAAGGAATGGTAGGTCAGACTGGCAGGACTTGGGTAGTTTTTGCCTTCTGTAGTATAGGTAATGGTCCTTTTACTAGGATCTTCTGAGCATACATTTAATTCCCTATTATTGCAGTGGCAAGGCATTAGTGGTATCATCACCTTCTTGACCTTTACCTGTCAGTTTTCATATCAGGGGCCTGCAGTTAATTCTCAAGATACTTTTATATATACATTAAAGTACATTTACTTGTATATTATGAAGTAGAATAGATATACTACATACATCAAAGCAAATGAACAAAATACATTTGGATTTACAACATTAATTTAAATAAAAAAGTTGTCAGTGCATGTTTAGTTGTTAGTTTGCAAAAATCCATATTTCAGAATAAGCCAATCAGCAATTAAAGCAAATTAGTGGATTCTACTGTGCTTAGATTATAAAACACATTCTTTAATTTTTATACTCTGTTTATAAATAAAATTAGATTCTGACCTGGAGAGAATAAAGTATAACAGCAGTCAACCCAATCCAGCTGTGCAGACTATACATGTTGGGAATGTTCTTGGCATTGTGGAAATCAAAAACAGCTACAAGAGACACAATTGCGAGAATCATAGCTATGGTATTTAACCCAGCATGGATGAATTTCATCAGGAGTTTGCTGCATTTCCAGGTCCAGGGCAATCTGTACACAATAATGGCTGAGGAAGAAATAAAAAGCATGGTTTAATAAAATATTTTACTGTTCTAGCTGATGTTAATAATCATGCATGATACACATTATTCCAGAATAAATGACAAGCAACACTGTAAAAGTCAACTAGAAGAAAGTTTTCATTTCATCACATTATATATAATCTTACTACCTCCCAAAACATGATTCAGGCCAAAGTATAAGCTTTGGAGAGAAACACTCTTCTTTTTCCTTCAGAGTGCTGACTGAACATGTTTTAAAAAAAAATAGTAATGTAATGTTCAATACATGTAATGTAATGTTCAGTACAATAGGAAGTAATGTTCCTACTTTGAGCAAGTATGAATATATTACTATGTATATATAAAGCAAAAAAAAACTATACTTCTTGACTAACGTAAGGGTAAAACTTATGCTTGGTAAAAGATACTGCATTTATGCTCTTTCTCCACTATTAGTCTGTAGCCTTAGCATTCTTAAGGACATATTTAATGAAATAAATACTAAAGGAAGTATTTACTAATATTTATATCAGAGTGACTAATAATGAATGACAAATTAATTTTAGTCATGTTTATGCACAAGGGCTTTCACTTGGATGCAATGCTTGCCAAAAATCATAGTATTTCACTAAAAAAATTGACAAAGAAAACTCTGTTCACAAATGGAATGTCCTGGAACACAGGCAAGTTTTAGATCAAGGGACATTTCTACATATGATGGGAAACACAACATGGGAATGAAAAGCCCTTTTAAAATAAACGCTGTATGCACAGTGAGGTATTTCGCAGCTTTTTGTTAAAAAAAAAAGAGTTGTACAAAAAAGTATAGATGAAGATGGCAGCCTTACTTTTGAAACTGCCTGATAGGAGTCAAACCACATTATGTAGCTATGACTCAGAATATCAATCTTACAAATACTATCCAACAAGACAAAATAAATTACATACTTTTTTAACATTTTAATGTAATCATTCCCAAAGTTTTCTGGAAAAATTGTGTGGGTAATTTCTGCCTGGGGCCACAGTTTTGGACCCCAATTTACAAACCCCAGACTGATTAATTAAAAAGGTTCAGAGAGATATAAATATTTACAATTTGGGGAATATTTACATTTAAAATGTAATATGGGTAAGAGAGACAGTATTTTAATCCAATTTCAAAACTTCTTAAAGATAGAGTTGTCAGATACTGTGTTTCACCATGGATTCATCTGTATTAAGCATTTTATTATTAAGAAATTGCCTATGTAGTTTGTTAAGTTGACCAGCTGTGGATGATTAAAGAGTTGTGTTTGTTTCTAAGTACTTCCAGATAGCATGTGGTCCCAATGCCCTGCACTTTTCTTTGGATATTTCTGTGTGGAAATGCTATAAGAGGCAAAAGCTACTGTGGAACTGTGTTACAGACAATCCACTTTGTTATGCTATGCATAACATTTACTTGTTCTTGACAACAAAATTTTCAAAGCAATGTTTTGGTTTTTTGGGGTTTTTTTAGTTGGTATCCTTTAAACCATGAGGCTGTCAAGGTCACTTTGACTTTAAACTGAAATGAACAATAAATCCCATAACAAGGAGATCACTCCCTCTTTTCCTTTACTTTTGTTTAAAGATACACAAAAGATGTAAAAAAGAGGTATAGAAGTAAGATGCACTGTAAGATGCATTCAAACCTAGACCTGCTGTGGCTATGCAAAACAGGGTATATACAGACATTCAGGGACGTCAGGGGAGGTTAGACAACAGTAAAAATGGCCACCGGATTTAGTTTGATCCACCCATGATCATACACTTAGATCCCTAGTTAGGTCAACCTAAATGCGAACTGTACAGAAGTTCTACGAAGGTTAGCTGGGTCCAAAAATGGCCAATCCAGTCTAATGTAACCATACCTCAGAGGTGCGCTAAGTCAGATCAGGTACAGATAGACCGATCTAACCAAACTTCTATATACATTCCAAGCACAGCCCTGGAGCTGGGAAAGCCCAGCTACTGGCCCTAGCCCTGGGGCTGCACTTTCCCTACCCCAACTGGTACCAGGCTATTTTTAGCCCCTCCCTCCACCGCCAGACAGAACATCCCTGTCCCTGCTGGCCAGCTAACCCCGACAGAGCCTGCCAAACCCCATGATCCTGCAAGCTACTCCCAGTGCTAGTTTTACTGGTATTCGCCAGTGCTGGGAGCCAATCGAAGCAAGTCAGGTGGGAGGGAGGGTTAGGTGGGATTGCAGGGGGTGGGTTGTTCATCTGGAGATGAGGAGGGGTTGGGGGGGCTATAATAACCTCTGGTAGTGGGGAGAGAGCCCCCCTGATCCTGCCAAACACCCCCATGAATCCACCAGCCTCCCCCCACAGAACTGCCCACCCTTCTCCCACCCCAATTTATTTCAATCAGGCTCCTTGAACCAGTAGATACTGGTAAAACCACCCCCAGGATCAATTTGCAGGATCAAAGGCAGTTTGGCAGCATTAGAGGAAATTGGGGTGGGGGAAGGGTCCTGAGGGGTTTTGCTGGACTGGAGAGCCTATCTGATCCAGCCATTCCCCTCCCAATCCCCTGCTGCCCCCCCAAATCCCCTAGCTCCCCTGCAGATTCTGCTAGTCCCCTCCACAGATTCTGCTAGCCTTCCCAATCCACCCAAGCCTCCATGCAAACCCCACTAGCCCCTTGATCCCCCAAGCTCTCTCCACAGACATCACCAGCCTCCCTATCCACTTATGCCCCTCATTCTTCCTGCCCCTTTCCCTCCCTTGACTTGCCTTAGCTCAGGCTCCCAGCACCTAATTGCTAAGTTAGATGGGGTGGGGGGCATTTTTAACCCAATCTAACCCCCCCATACTTCTGGCTGTAATGTCTGTATGCAGCCACAGTGGAGTATACATGAGTGAAGTCACTTGGACAGCATGTTATGTTTTTATACATCAGTATGTAATACTGGAAGCATTCCTGCTGACAGCCAATAAAATGGAAAGTATAGCAGGGACTATACCAACTCCTAATATTATCAGGTTCTTGCATTTGAATATATAGTACTAGTCATTTAAAGTCTTGTCTGTAGCTGTAGGCAGATTTGTTAGTTCAGCATCTGGTTTGACAGCTAAGATTGACTAGACCTATAGGACAGGAGACCAATTATGAAAAATCAAAGGCAACTTGTTTCTGGAAGGTCAGTCATGTGTTTAGATCATGAGAAAATAGAATATTAACAACAGTGATACTGCATCAGAAGCAATAATACCTCAACATTTTATTAGAGTTAAAAATGTCAAATTCCAAAAGTTTGCCACTAAAAAAGAAAAGAAAAGGAAAAGAAATGAAAAAGATGTTGCTTTCTTTCAACCTATTTTCCATGTTGATGTTTCAAATGTTATACAAGGTATCCTCATGTCTTAGTAATATGGGATTAATTTAATTTCACCATGTTGTTATACAAGGAATTACTTTCTTTATTAGTCATTTTTATTGCAATGGCAGATCCTTTTAGTGAGACATCAGACCTTCACTGAGCTTAAATTTACTGTACCTAAATGAAAAGATGGTTCCTTTCCTTAAGAGCTGACAATTTAAGTTGTATAGAAAGATTTATTTCACCTTCCCTATTGATTAAATAAAGCTTTTCTATTTCTCTGGATCTGCCAGAGTTCCCTTCATAAATCAGAAAGTTACATTTAAAAATGCTTAGAAATTAAGCTAACAAAAACAGATTAAGGAAGGTGTTACTCACCTTTGGGCATCCCCTTACAACTTTTCAAGTTGAACTACAACGGCAAAATTTCCATTTGGTTGTAGACCGGTTGTGGAATATGTACTTTGCATTCAAAGAGTTTAGTAGCTATTCAAAAGTGCTAAGATTCCTTAGTCTCCCCATCTGTATTATCTTAATTTACTACAATAAACTTTCTATAAATTAAGTAAAACCATTTGGGTTCAGAAATAGTTTATTATTTATGTTTCTTCTCTGGAGGGGCAATTTTGGACTTAATTTAAAAGCCCAACTTTGAGACCTCCTTACGTGTCCTTACTATTATCCATATTGCAATGGCAAATGAGACTATGAATGATGAAACATGGATGTACTCTGTTTTGTGAAATTAAGGAAGCCCAATTGAGATTTTGCCTATAATATTCAGATCATCATAGGCCTGTCATCCCTTTGACTTTCATGAGGTGAAAGGCCCTAAATTATTTTCTGTTATGCTCAGATAGTGGTACTAATACCCAACATTGTGATACCTACAGAATAAGTTGAAAGGTGATAGGACATAAGAAAGAATAAGAATACATTCTTCCTCCAGTCCCATAAAAGGCCTCCAAGCCAGTCCATCCATTCTGAACAGAGAAACTGCAACTGTGACAGTATTTCTAAATAGTCCTTCAGTAAATTCTTTGACACTCTACAGTAGTACATCTCTGTTCCTTCAATCTCTGCTTAAAATCCCCTTTATTATCAAAGCCTTCCTATTTTAGACTAATAAAAAGTGTCCCTGTGCCTTCATGCACAGTGATTCTGTCCCATATGTTTTTTCCCCTATTTTTGTTGAGGAAAGCATTTGTGCAAGTATTTTGCAAAATACCATGCCCCTGTATAGTTCCCTTTATAATTGTTACTTAATACACAAATATTTGGCTAACATACTGTACACAAACTCACTATCTGACTTTCTTAATCCATACTGCTGTTGTCATCTGTTTCCCCCACTTTCTGCAGATCAACAATAACAACCCTTCTCCTTTTCTCTGTGCTGGTTGTGAGTAACCACACGTGCTCATTCTGAGTTTGTGATTGTTAAGATACCCATTCCAGCCTCATACAGTTAATTTTAACAAGAATTGTATGTAATCGGAGATTCCTTTCTAATAGGATATTAGTTACTTTAAGATTGAACTTACTTTTAAATTATATACACAAAAAAGTGCTAGATATCCTATCACAGGACCCAAAGCTCACTGCGTCAATGGGATCTTCTGAGTGATTTCAATGGATTTTGATTCTTACATATTTAAACTTTCATTTAGTTTAATCTCTTCCATTATCTTCTTTTTATTTTTCACCTTTATTTTTCTGTGTTGGCATATGTTGTTATTTTGAGATTCATTTTAACTTGCATGCTTATTAGAATGAGGCCTTTATTGTGCTATGTTAAATAATTAACAAACCTCCCATGATTTTTCATCAGTTATGTCAAGGCCTAGCTAACTATTCTTAAGAATGTCTTAAAGACCATTGCTCTGTTTTGAATCCGATACATGTCTTACACTCCTTATATTCCACTTTTAATAATGCGAGAGATTTACCAGTAAGAATTATTTATATGTGCAGTATTGTTATTCTTGATATACTACTTCTATCGTAAGTGCATGTGCATGAGCTAATTCTATAGGCTATTACTCTACAGAGAAATTAGTTAGCAAAAAGAATTGTGTCAAGTGAGATGTTACGTTTGCCACGTTTGAGTTATGGCAGGATTGAAAAGACCAATAAAATGGGAACATATGCTTTGTCTGGCCAATTATAGACTTAAACTAGTTGAGCAGTGCTGGATTGGTCTTCTGAACTTTTAATATATATTAATTATTAAAATAACAAATAGTCAGCACCTGTTGTTTGACAATATTAACTCTACAAAATACATGTTATCTATACTATATTTTACAGATAATCCTCTTTTACAACTGCTTCCCTCTTTTGAGCTGTGGAGATCTTCTATTTACTTTTAAAATATCCCTTGCATATATATTGCTTGAAATAACACCACCGATTATCAGCAAAACCAAACCATTAGGAGAGAGAGAGAAAAAAAAGAGAAAGATCTAAAGAAAACCTTCCCTACTTTCTATGGAAATGCATCTACTTTCTCTTTGTAAATGAAAGTTATTAGTTTAATGGTGCAGAAGGGTCCAGCTCCTTTTGAAGTTAATAGGACTTTTACAGATTCTTCTGTGAAGGTTTAATTGCCCCTAATATTGCACTTCATGTGATTTTCATTAAAAATACCTTAGAAAACATCACTTAAAAACATAATTGTACTTAAATCACTTACATCAATTTTTCCCCACCAAAAGAATTAATTCTGTGCATTTTTAAAACCATACCAGTCCCTATTATTATTAGATAGCCATCCACCCCATCAGTTTTACTCTAACTGTAATCTAACTGCCTTTACTAGTGCATGAATGTGCATATGTTGAGCAGGTGAGCTTGCTGGGTGAAACTGGAATGCCATTCAACAGTGAACCAAACAAAAGCTTTGGCATTTAAAAATGGCCAAACATGGTATTATGAATTTAAGTACAAAAAATATATTTGTGTACTTAAACACTGCAAGATTCTTGCAAAGAAAAGACTGATTCTTCCTTCAGTCTCTAATATGAATTAAACACTGAACAAAAAGCAAGGTCAATGGTAAAATAACCTGGGTTTCCAGTTGGGTTTTTTTCTTCTACATTATTGTACTATTAAGGCACTGTTAATGGAGAAGCTGGAATCAGCTCGTATTGAACCCAAGAAGAACTTTGCCACTGACTTCAGTGGGAACACACCTTGGAACTATTCTCTTGTTCTTTTTGTCCATTTCTCCCATTCATTTTATCACAATTTTCACCCAGAATGTCAGTAATTTTCTGGTAGGTCAGGGGCCCTTATTTTTTGTACCTTGTTGTCATAACTGAGATGCAATTACAGGGACAGCCATCTTAATCTGAGGATTCTGACTGGTGCCTGCCAATGCTCCTGCTGGGACCAAAGCCGGAGGTTCCCTTCTAAAGGGTCTTGCCCCTCTGCTCAGGGTCAGACCGATCACTACATTTGGGGTCAGGAAGGAATTTTACCCTAGGCAGAATGGGTGGGGGGAAGAGGTTGCTTTCCTGCACAGCAGGGGCTTGGGCCTCTCCCCAGGATCTCTTGAGCCTATATTAACAACCTCCGACAGGGCACTGGCTGCCACGATTCCCCTGCTTTATCTAAGGCAGGTTAGGGTGCTATGTCTTGGGTCGGGCTACGGGTGACTGAGTTTAGATTATGGATTATATAAGACGTTTTGGATAGGGAGGGGGTCGGCAGGTCCCTTCCAGCCCTACTTCTCCACGATGAAGCCTCACCCGTTGCTTCCCCACCACTTTCTCTGTTGCTTAAAACTTTACAGAAGCAGCGAACGCGTCTCCGCTCCCAAACGGCATCAAAACACCGCCGAGCTCAAGGCCGAGTCCTCCTTCGCTGCGTCCACCCGCCGCCAGCATTGAAGGCAGTAACATTGAGCCCAGAAAGCCAAGCCAGTCAGCGAGCCTTGCTCTTCGGACTCGCGCGGAGCAGCGGTCAACGCGGCCTGGGAAGCACTTCGAGGAAGCGCAGGGAAGGCGGCCCGAGTCCGACAGCGACGCAACCGGGACCCGGGGAAGCCCCTCGCCGCCCGAGCTACTCCGCCGCGGGGCCTGGGGAGGCTCCCCTCAGCCCCGGGGGCTCCGGCCAAGGAGGGCGCTCTCAGCCCCCGGGCCTCGGGGGGACCACGGGCGGGGAGCGGAGCAGCAGGGACAGGACCCGCGGAGGCGCCGGCCGGGCAGCCGGTACGCACCGATCCCCTGGATGAAGACGAAGCCGGTGATGATGAGGACCGGGTGCCAGTTGAACTCGGCCTCGGCGCCGTCCCAGCTGAGCCCCTCGCGGTACTGGAAGACCCAGACGAGGGCGAAGAGCACGGAGAGGAAACCAAGCAGCAGCGCCGACGCCAGCAGCGCCAGGAAGAGCCGGTAACCCTCCATGTTCAGCGCCCCATGCTCCGGCCGGCCGGAGGCGGGAGGCACGAGCGCTGCCCGCTTCCGCTGCTCAGGCCCGGGGCCGCCTCCGCCCTGCCCCGCCCCGCCCTGCCGGGCCCCCTCACACACACGAGTCCTGAAGGGCCTTGAGAGGAGGGAGTGATGCCCCGCCCGGCCCCGCCGTGGAGCCTTGCCAGCGCCAGGCAGTCTTCCCCCTCGGGCGGGGCTGGGGCTCTGCGCTCCCCCCGGCCATCGGACTCTGCTCTGGGCTCGGGGAGCCGAGAGGGAGGCGGGAGCGTAGCAGAGGCGCCCCGAGCTCAGAGGCGGGGGGGGGCTGGGCACACGCTACGGGGGAGCGGAGACAAGCGTGTCCGATGGAGACACGACGCGGGGGCAGGCTTGGAAACAATCCCCGCACTCGGGAGCTGCGCCAGCACGGGGAAGTGTGCTCGAAGAAGCCCGCCTGCCGGGCCTGGATTTCGGAGCTCTTGATCCCCTGCCACGTCCATTTGTTTTCGCGTAGGAAGGAGTAGGAGCCGGGCACTTCCAGAAGTCAGGCCACTGTTTACAAAATTAGTAAGCAGATGTTAGCCAGTGTCCGGGCAGAGGCTCCCAGGCAGATTGTTTGAATAAGTATTTAGTAATGTCATAGGGATTTAGGCTCAGCGTAAGGGGTGACAGATCATTTAGTTTATTTTCGAGTGACTCAGTCATTTCAGAGAGACCAGAAGCTGGCTGCAGGGGTGTGCGGTGTGTGAGCTGTATCCAAGTTTGGGTTTGGGTTGTATAGATAAAGCCACATAAGGAGGGGAAGAATCCTGCACTCTGTAAAACCTCTACCCTTAGCACAAAGTTTCCTCATCTCGAGCCTTTGTAAGTCAGGAAAATGCATAGATTTTTACTGTGTTATATGAAAACACAGTAAAACAGTACCCTCATGAAAGTCCAGTTAAAACAGCTGCACCAGTTCTGTGTGTATAGCTTGTTTAATTTGGGAACCTTTTTTCACTGTTAGCTGTGTATCTGCTATGGGACTTCGTTAATGCAGATGTGTGATTTCATCTTGAAGTCAATTTTGGAAGAAGCGGACTTGGCTAAGAAACTTAGGCCAGGTCTACAGTATACTGATATATGATACTAGCAAAGCATTCTTAGTGTGGACACAGGTTATGCCAACAAAACTGAGCTTTTGTTGGTATAGCTTATTCCAGCCTTCATCCCCCTCAGCCTAAGCAAAATAAGCTATACTGGGAAATGTATTAATGGATCTGTAACATGGGCTTTTGGTGGCATAGCTATGTCAGTCAAATCACACCTCATTCTGCCCTTAGCAAATTCAGATATGGCAGCAAAAGTTCATAGTATAATCCCTGATATAAAGATTTGTAAACCCATAAGACCTTGTGATACCAAGCAGTGCATTATCTAGATTTTTTTTTAAATCAGAGACTCTTGAAGTTTATAAATATACACTGGGTCAATCCTTTGTTATCGTTCAATAGTCTACCAAAATGGATTCAAATACACTTAACTTTATTTCCATGAGTACTTCAGCAGAAGCCAATAAAACTGTTTTCATACATGCTTCAACGTATTCAAGACTGAAACTGAAGTTGGTGGCATCATCATCATCATTACAGGCAGTCCTGGGATTTACAACACAATTGGTTCCTGAAAACCTCATCTTAAGTCGAAATGTCATAACTCAGAACTGATTTTCCCATAGGAACAGTGTTATAAATGGGGGATTGGTTCCTGAACCAAGGCCCAATACCCTATTTTCACCAAAAATAACGCAGAATTTTTACTCAATCAATTACAGATGAGTAATATAGCTACATTAATATATTTATATTGTAAATAGCAATCATATTGATTTGGAAGTACTTCTTTGAGGAGACTTTGCTGGAATTTTTGAAGGGCTCTTGGCTGGAGTCTTCTCAGGAGTCTTGGCTGCAAGTTTTTCTGGAGTCTTGTCTGCTTTCTTAAAGAAACTGTCCAAGGAACTTTGGACAGATGTTCTCCAGGGAAATGGGCAACACAGCAGACTTGTTCGCTGGCATGCCATCGCATCGGATCAAGCATTGTAAAGTCAAAACTGACATCATAAAGTCGAAATGGTGTCAATTTATAAATGTCATAAGTGCCATTGGTTGTAACTCAAAACGTCTTAAGTTGAGGACTGACTGTATTTAGGTTACAGATGTTTCAGATATATTAACCCTGATGTC